GAAATAAGGTAGGAATTGGTGTTCTTCTTAAATTTATGGAGGTTATATGCCTCGGGCAACACCTCCCTTGGCAATATGTTCCAGAGCCTCGCTGTTCGTTGGATGAACGAGTCTTCGGAAAGAGATGTAGGTCTCCAAAGTGACCACGAGGGGGTGCGAAGCCTCAACTCGACGGTGCAGTCTCGCGGGTACTGCCAAGAGAGGAACAATTGTTGATATTTCAGGAGAGCATCGTCCATGGAAATATCTATGAAATAAAGCCAGATCGCCAACTTTTCTACGGTGTTCCAGAGAAGTGAGTGAGTTTGTGAGCGAGGCATCACCCACGAGACGAATTGCCCATTTTCGGACAGAATTCGACAGTTTCATCAGAGTATATTTGGGTGCTGCACTCCAAATATGGGAACAGTATTGAACCCTGTTCGACTTCTTCGTCGAAGACTTCAGTGATGAACTGAAGGTTGAGCTGTCAAAATACGCTAGATAAAAAAGCGATTCTCAAAAATTTACATGATTCGCTAGCGAATATTTCGAAAACTATGGAAGTTAGAGAGAAAGAACCAACTCATACAATTTTGTAGACAATTTTATCAGCTACAGTCTTGAATTCATCATTTGTTTTAGCTGTGACGTACCGTTTTTGAGCTATGAACGATGAATACTAAAAAATGCACTTGGATCATCTTGTATGTTCGGGAACTTTCGGAATTTTTGCTTCTAATGTACTTCAAACACATCCCTAGTGTCAAAATTTCTCTCCTTGCGATTAACTCAATGTGAACACCTGGAAGAGATCCTCTGTGAACGACGAGTGAGACAAAAAGATTGTTCAGGCAACCCGCAGTGGTTACGGATACCTATCCCTCTCAATTTTATGGAAGCGCTCGCATTACCTATTATCTAATAGTAAACGTGATTGAATATAAACATTTATTTAGGAAAAAGGATAATGTTGCAATCAATCATTATTCAAAAATAATCATTGATTTTTCAATTGACTCAAAAGTCAAATTACATTTTAATTCTTACAGGATTGGAGAGTCAAATGAATACAAAATTGAAATTATATATTCTCATTCGAATGTCACAATATATTGTACAGGGTGAGCGAAGCTCAATGTCTCCGCACTATCAGATGAATGAAAGATGAATATCTGCGTCGCACGAATGTACACCTTCATTTTTTCCTTTCTGGTGAAGGAGAAGCTCCAAAGGCAAAACTAAGGAGACAAAATGATGTAGCTCTTGAGTTCAAAAGTAGTTTTCACCTTCAAAATGTTTTTCTTGAACCTCATCAAGATTGTCATTCTCCTTTTTAGTTTTCACTCTCCTCTGCAATAGAATAGGCCTTCTTGGATGAAACAGTTAGCGGGTTTTATTGTCAATAAACTTTGAAACTTGAAAGCTGGAATTTGCAATATCCATATGAAAAACAGCGTCCTCAGAATCCAAGTTATCAACATCCACACACACAACCACAGACACATCCTGAAAATGAATTACTATAGTTTTTCAACAATCCGAACAATTTTCAACTCATGCCCATGAAGGACAATTTTTGTTTGTCTTGCATCCAAAGGCAACACAATATTAAGAACCATTGTTTATTAATTCGGAATCACAAACCTTCTCAACAACAATCAATTCACACCAACAAACTCAGTCCTCTTGAAGAAACTAAACACGCCAAATTAAGCGATATTTCACGTAACAAGAAACAATGAAGTTCTGTCTCCACTTTTTCTGCCAGTTTAGATTGAAGAAAAAAGATGTCAAGTACTCCAATCATGGGATGAGAGAAAATGTATACACCAGATAGATAGATAGATAGATAGATAGATAGATAGTCCCCCATTAAACAACCCGAGTGCAAAAGAGACAGGTTACCGTAACACAAGCTATCTTTGTTGCAGCTGCCGCTGACACACTCTGTGATTTCGAGGAAAAGGCAGTCTCCCTTCCAGTTGTTTATATTGGGTTCAATGCTTCCATGTGTTCTGGCTGATACATGATGTACAGCGTTCTTTACCGAATTATCACGTCGAAAAATACCGTGGGCTGACGCCATGCTACAAATCTGGAAAGAAATCTCTGACCAAACTCGGCATACACTGTGTTATCGCAGAGGGACACTCTTAAAATATCATGAATCTCAACAAATCACGTGATGGAAATTCTTCGAGAGATTACTGTTTTTTAGACACCTTTATTGTTAGGTACTCAAAAATTTATAGAGGCAGTTAATTTTTTTCTGTACTCATATTATAATGATATTACCCTGAGAGCAGCTGAATCATCAAGAAGAAGGCAAGAATACATTGATCTCCCTGTATTGTTCTCGAACATCCCAATTATTCTATCATGCACCGATCGTGGCGACGGAAGATTATCGAACTTGATGATGTTCTAAGAGCAATGAAAGGGTATAAAAGACGATAGAATTATCGAGAATGCAAGGTAACTAATATATACAGGGTTTCTCGAAATCACATAAGAAGATTTTAACCACAGATTCTAGGAATAGAAATAGTAAAAGAAGTTCATATAAACATGAACCCGGAAATTTTTCCCTGATGGGAGTTATAGCCATCTGAAAGAGAGCCCGAGATGATTTTTGTTAATATTTGCTTAATCCTTCGTGATGGGATAACAAAACTTTGTACATGTATGTGAGTTTTTATGCTCAATATAGAAATCTTAAGAAATTCCTGAAATTTTGATAACGGACGTGGGGATAGGGACATATCTCCACCCAACTTTTTTTGTATGCAGTTTCCGGAAGTTTTACCAGGAAATATGGAAATATCATAATTTTCTTTTGAAAATAATACTTCTCGTTTAGTTCCGATAGCATTCACCATTGTCGAGATAAATCAATTTCGAAAGGATGCTGGATAACAAAATAGTGCTTTTCACTCATTATTGGGTACCAAATTCTCTTCGAAAAATCATTTTTCGATAGAGGATATTCTTTCATCAACATGTACTCATGATATTTGACTCTGAATATGAGACATCAAAAAAAATTGTTATTAGGCAGTAGACTTTCAAAATCGATTAATTCCGAAAATGGTGAGTCCTATCAAAACTGAAAAAGAGTATCAATTTTAGGTAAAATTCATGATATTACCATATTTCCTGATCAAACTGTCAAAAATTGCATAGAAAAAAACAAATCGGGCATTGAGACTAATTCGTATCTACAAAATTTCGTCTCCACACAGGGTCTCGGAAATATTTGGAATGAACCATCATCTTGGGTCCTCTTTCAGATGGCTATAACTCCCCAGGGGGCCATTTGTGGGCTTATGTTCATATGCACTTTTTTACTACACTTGTTCCTGAAATCTGTGGTCGAAATCTTTCTATGTGATTTCGGGACACCCTGTATAAGAAAGACTGGCTCACGTAGCAAGCAGTCAGTCAATCATTCAGTGTCAGTGACACAGTGTCGAAACACTCGAAATAAAAATGAAAGTGATAAGTCATAGTCTGATGAATCAGTTCATGAAAGAAAAGTGTAAGTGTTCACGTCTGTCCACAAATAACGTGATCATAAACGTCTTGTATGAGACTCGGATGAGACATACCACCTATCACACTGAACATTCATATTCTCAATATGTAATTGGAAACAAACGGTCGAAATTCATCAAGACTCGTCATTCATCACATACAAAATATATGTTTGTTCCGGGAACATATAATTTTTTCGAAACAATCTCAGTCTTTTTCTATCTTGATTCAATAGTCTCCGTATCTCGGACTCTTGAGAATGTTGAAGAATTATACTTGATACCCTGGACAGCACGTCAGCGACAATTTTATGACCTGTGTTATCCATACATCTGATGTAGCTAGATGTCCAAAATTATGGGTTTCACCATCTCTCCAAAATACTTGATTGATTGATTCAAATACCCCAATAACTCTATCTCAAAGTTGAAAGTTTCCCGAATTATAATCCATTTTTCTGAATTACAACTCATACTTCCTGGAATTCATCTCGCATATAAACTGAATTACCTCCTCCCGATTTGATCAAAGGAAGTGAGTTCCCTAAAGTGACGTTTCGAAATAGTGAATGAACGGATTCTGAACTGGAGGATGAACTTGAGATCTAAAAAACACAATTCAAATTGCGATGACATTTCAAGAAAAATGATTGAATAATTCTAATTCTCCACAAGCTGAGTCTTGATTAGGCTACCAGATATTTATGATGTATATAATGTACCTAACTCATCAGGCAGTCCAGAAGAAAGATAACACACAGTCGTGAAAGAGGAGTGCACGAAATCATTCGAGAAAATTGCAGAAAATATATGCAGGACAAACTGGAAGATCCCGTGTAACCAGGGTTATATTCGATATTACTCATCCATACTCTAGATCTGATATCGTAACTTTTATAAATCTGGAGAATAGGTGCTCATGTTACATCCTGTATCATTCCTCCCACTATGATTTCGTTTCTGTATTTCGGCTGTTGAGTGCAAGTACAGGGTACCTACATGCTGTGTTTTCATATTTGTATTGCGCTCCCTCATTGGCAATTCAATCAGAAATAAAAAGGAATGACTCAATTTCAGGAATAAATAACACTCAATCACTCAACACAATACTTTTACCAATACAGGCATTTATCATCAATTTGTATCGAAGGAGACCAATTTTGTATAATGTTTGTATCGGCATTTCAAAGAAATACTGTTCATCAACCTAAACTATTGAGTGAGACAGCCCACTATAATATAATTTTTAACGATGACATGACACGCCATTTTGGCAATTCTAAATCCATTGGTGCGTCGTTAGTTGTATGAGGTTGAGTTTACTATTATTCATAGACTCTTGTGCTATTTGCTGGTGTGGTTTCCAAGCAAGATCCACTGTTTCGTTCCTCAAAATAGATGGTTTTTTATTTCGATAATCATCAATGCAATCATTGTATTATATTATATGGTAACATTTCTATGATTCTCTTTATTTTGTTTCAGTTCGGTGTGTTCCTATGCTTGGTCCTGTGCCTCGAAATGACTATAGCGATTGTTGCCTTTCAAAACAAAAGCGAATCGAAGAGGTTGAAGACTCAGACGCTAATGGAAGCACATAAAATAAACGGAACTGTTCTTTTCAAGGCAATTGAGGAACACGTGAGTTTCTAAAAAATATCACACATCGGATCAGAGAGATGGAAGTATGTATTCTCGTTGGGATTTTTCCATTCTGGAATTTGGAAGTCTGATTTTAAACTTTGAATATGACAAAGTTGCTTATATGTACATATATACCTTCGACATCTGTTGAAAATGTATGTCTCTGTTCAATTGATCTCAACTACATTCATTTACTATTTGATGTAGGAGTCAATTCAGATTTGGTTGGCAAAATCGAGTCGCAGTGATGACGAACTATATTTTGATTTTCACGTGTCTTTTATTTCGAATTTATTTTCCAAGATAGATGCCACGTTCTGGAGAATGACATAAAAAAATCTAGCCTGGGTGTAATATCCTGTATCTATCGGGTGAAAGAAAGAATGGAAATGAATGTGTCAATATTTCATAATCCTGTAAAATTAACATTGAAAAATCTCATGTTCAGGATTATTTGAATTTCTATTCATTAAAAGTTTGTGATCATGAAGGTGTCTGTAGAAATGACTCCCTTATATGAAGAGTTATTGATATCAGTTATTGATATATTCGATTGAATTTTCACGAGGAATGATTTTCGTTACCGTTTAATCATAGTTTATTATTATATTATAGATAATAGGTATTGTAGAGAATATTCGTGGAGAGGAATGAAATGTGACCGATTAGATTCCTTCTTTGTCGAGCTTCTGTAAATGTTTATTCTTTCATCAAGACCCACGTTATGAACTGTAAATAATTATGTATATAGTTTTTGTCGATTCACCTAGGAATATGGACGACACAAATGTAAATAAAACGAATTCAATAAATATTTGTCATCTGTTGTGTTGTTATTTCACTGAGTGTTTGTGACTATGTTTATATGCTCAATGTCGCAGCTGAATGCACGCGATGGCAGCTTTCATTCCAGTCATTTAGATTTCTAATATTGTAATGAGAACAGAAACCTCAGTTCAAAGTTGTGTTTTAGTAGTACTGAAACCTAGTAGGAATAGCAGAGTACAATCGTTCTAGACATTTCATAGATAAAATGGACTCTTGATTCAATGCGGAACAGCGCATTGATTCAACCATATGGCACTCTTGAATAGGTCAAACCAAATATTTGTTTGATTTTTCAAAATTGCTTTCTCGACTCATTCAAAACCTTGAATCGAATAAATATTCCTTATTCAATTAAATAATATAATTAACTTGAGATAAGGAAATTCATATATTGTCGAGTTGATCTTACTTTCCCTGGTCCTCACGATGTTCTCTGGACATTACAGGATATCCCTTTCCGTGGAAACTAGAGCAAAAAAAAATCATAGTTGAACAATGTTGTTCTTGCATCAAGAAATTTTGAGCTTGTTACAAATAGATAATGTCTCATTATAATAATTGGATATGTTTTCAGAAAATCTCCATTATCTTGTGCCAAAAGATTTTCATTTATACAGCTCACTATAAGAGTATCGATGATCTCACCATGAATGGAATAAAATTGACTCTTACAGTTGGTGAACCATGTTACAAAAAGATTCAAAGTTCAGGGTTCCTTTCTGTTCGGTATACCCCACTATGAGTAGCCAGAGGAATCAATGTTCGATGCGAGAAAGTGGATCCCACCATATTTTGAATATTCTTGAGTAATCGGACAGAAGAACAAATTCTATTTGAACCAAAGTTCAATCAGTTTTCCTTGAACCTTATATACCCTGTAAATTATAGAGGCATAAATCGAGTAGGTACTTTGATGCGTTTCAACTCGCAAGAAAGCCGTAAACGATGAAACGATGCTAGAAGTACTGTCTGTTCATCAATCGAGCATTCTTCTCAAGAATGTATGGTTCGCAGTTCTAATCCTGGAAGTATCTCGACGCCTTAGTAAAGCTTCTCGACCCACTATAAGCTATGTAGGTCCTGCTTTTGTCAATCTCGCACAAGTTAATACTAAGGAATTATTACATACTCACCAGAATAACCGTAGGTTATCTTGGTCAATTTGATTTGTCTTCATCAAATGTGAATTGAGATAATGAATCTAGACATACTGAAATAAAATGCTGCAATAAATGACCGCTTTCTGACTTTTCTCGTTTTGAAATCGAGTGTCTTTTCGAAACTCCAGAACCTTCAGATACACTTTTGAATATTCTGGGATAGAACAAAACATTCTAAGATATTCTAGATCATCTTAGAACATTTTGGCATATTCTGGAAACATCTATGATATTTTCAAGCCTTCTTCAACTGTCCGGAATATAATTAATAGTTGTTTATTTTACAAAGGAAAAAGTCTCTCGATGCGTAGCGGAGGGGGACACAAATCCGACAGTGAGTGTTCTTCAATTACTTCCTTTTTTGCAGCTTTATAAACTTTATTATAAAACTTTCCATATCATGGTGCACACGTCTTGGTGATGCCTATTTATGGTCCAAATTATTTGAATTCCTTGTTCCCTCATCTTCATGTGAGTAAGTAATAAATTATTGTATCTATATCGTAAGTCATTATTGCTTCTTCTAGAATTATGAATCTCATATTCGGATTATGGGCTTATATAAGTCTGAAACATGTACCTGCGTGATTGCTATCTAATCTTCCAAATAAACGTTGTGGAAATGACTCTGGGTATTTTCATCTTCGAGGTTGAATGTTGAATGGAATGTTCCAGAGTGTTTGAGATTGCTCTCGAAAGAATCAGAATCTTCCAAAATTCAGTATCTCAGAATTTTCTACATAAAATATTCTGGAATGTCCCAGAATGTCCGTTCAAGGTGCTAGACCTGAACGGGATCTCTTTTCTGGAGTTGGAAGGAATTGAGAATAACTTCATTTACTTGAGCTTGATGATATCTGCATTTCGAGGTTAAATTTTTTCAATCACATTCAATGTGAGCTGGCTTCGTCTAATCAAAGAAAGGGTCACTCAGTTATATGAAGATAACCAACCCTGTGATCACTCCCAAAATTTGTGCAGAGGTGTGGAGAAGGAAAGATTTTCGTGAAAAAATCTAATCAAAATCAGGAAATTCAAAATGGCGGATCCAATATGGAGGACGGACGAGTTTTGTAATTATGAACAGATTCTATTCAGAATTCGTATCTGGGGTTTTGGAGGTCGGAGATTATGATTTATTCATCAAAATCAGGAAATTCAAAATGGCGGATCCAATATGGAGGACGGACGAGTTTTGTAATTATGGTCAGGTTTCACTCAAAATTGGTATCTGGGGGTTTTCGAGGTCAGAGATTATGACTTTTTTATCAAAATTAGGAAATTCAAAATGGCGGATCCAATATGGCGAACAAGTTATGTAAGTATGGTCAGATTCTATTCAAAATTAGTATATGGGGGTTTTAGAGGTCGGAGATATGAATCATTTGTCAAATATTGGAGTTTTCGAACTGTTTAGTGGACCTCAGCGATTGCGATTGAATTCATTAGTTCCAATTCTATTTAACCAAGAACTCGATGTATTTGTAAATGGTTTACATACAGAATGAATCAATACTAATCACTGAACCCGAGAATTTGAGGCTCTTTTTTTCTGGGTTGTTATGTCGCGATTCAATTTTGTACGCTATTCAGTTATTCTTTTCCATATCTATCTCAATACTGGGGTTCCTTGAAGGAATTCGAAAGTGTGTGTGCGTGTGTGTGTGGACAAAAATCAAGTATTTTTATAGGCATTCAGAATATATCTGAAAAATGCGAAAAAGCATTGTGAACCTGAACATTCTGCATAAACTGTTATTTTTTTCATGGAACACCCTATGATTGATTTTTTTAAATGGTAAACCTTTTTCTTCTGATTTCGGATATAAATACTCCATTGAGGTTAGGTTGGTAGAACGCCAGACGACAATGCTGCAACTTGAGCCGTTCTACAAGTGCCTTAGAACCTGATTTTTCCGAAAACTGATGGAGATAACCGCAATGAAGTATATGTATTCAAAATCAGGAGAAGAAGCTTTATCGATTAGTAGAATGAAATAGAGAGTTTTCCAGTGCAAAAAGTACCAATTTATGTGGAGTTTCAGGTTTACGATGCTTTTTTGCTTTCTCTAGTAATAGACCCTCGAGGATAATGGGAATTACTTCATTTTCGACCATTTTACCGTTTCTGTGAGATCAATATCAACTGAGATAGCTATCTGAGTGAAAAAAATATAAACAATCACTCTAGGTATTTTCAATAAATTGATTATTATTGAAACAGAAAAGTGAATGCTTCAAATGAGAATGAAAATCATATTGATGTCGAATGCCTCGAAGGGCATGAGGACGATCTAGTCCTAAGAGCCTTCTAGTGGCTAGATTGTTAAAACAACCATAACTTGCGAGTACATCGAATATAGACACCTACGTCCATATCAGTACAGAGAGGAAAAACTGCCACAATTCTGCAGACTATTGCAACACCTGATATTCTGACAGTGGTTTAACGTCCCACAGACAGATGGACAGGAAATTAAAATCTCAAGACGATTTTAGGATAATTTCGTGAATGGATTATCAGCAGATAATCGATTTTTATAAAATTTCTTAGTCTTGAGATTTCAGTTTCCTCATGGTGATGTGTTTTAATTTTTCTGAAGGTTTCATCATTATGTCTGAGTAGAGAAAATCCACTACAATGCAAGACATACCGATTCAGCATAGGTACTGATTTCGTCGTTTATACATGGTAAGAAGAGAGTTCAAACTCCAATCATCATGAATTAATTTCACCAGTGAATTCAAACCGAATCGTTTCCTCGCAATAACACATTATTTTTTAACTTAAGCAAACATCTGAAATGAAATACAGTTTCACTCACTTGAATGAAACAAGAAACCTTAATGCATTATCCACAATTGGAAAATATCGAATTTTCATCCTATTCTCCAGAATAATCACTGTCAGCATTAAAATAAAACGAACATATTCAAAAGATAGAAGGCAGATTAAACAATATTGTTCAGCATATTTCTATGGAAAATGAACAGAGTATTCATTCATTTAGCGAGATTATT